CAGGTTACAGACTCCTGCTTAGATGGTTAATGTTCCACATTAACAAAAAGTCAATATTAGATTTTTTTAATCTTATAAAATTTGCTTTTTGTAGCTTTCCACATTGTTTTAAATTTTTTCCTGCATCAAAAACAAACCTGGAGTGTTGCTTTGATTCTTTCATTCATGTTTGAGAAATCCCTTATTCTGCATTGAACCAAACTTCTGCTTTACAGAGCATTCATCAGCTGTGCTTCACCCACTCAGCTCCTTCAGACTAGCCAGCAGCAATTAGCAAACACCTGTTGAGCTCATTATAGGAGCTGCTGCTCAGAGTAACACTGGTAAAAACTTTAAAGGGTTAATAGAGGAGCCATGTTGGGATGACTTCCTGGAGGCGGAGCTTCAGAAAGAGCAGGAGCTTCTTAAAGAGACAGACGCCCAATTTCAAGGTGTTAAATTACACAGTATTGTTTCTTCTAAGCCATATTTGTTATTGTACAAAGGATTTTTAAGAACTGAAGGAAACATAGTTACTGTACCTATGTGACTGGAGAGCACATAATATCGCCCCTTCCCGACTTCCTTAAAGTGAGAAGGAGAAAAGATATTCACTGCTAAAGCCTAAGTACTTCTTGTTTCATCCTGGTGTCTGTAATGAATCTTTAACATCTGTCTTGTCCATCTGCTTTAACATTTCCTGACCTGTTGACCTGTGACCTGACACTGGGGTCCCGTCAGTCCAGATTTGGAGAAATTATGTTTCTGGATGTAACTTTGAACCCTGAATGGATTATTATTTCAGATTGAACTGAAGCAGCGATCTCAGATGAGTTCAGAGTTTTAAAGCTAAATCTGGGACGGCTTTGGTGTAAAAGTTAAAGTTTCAGGAGGCTAACATGTAGCGTGTAGCTGTGACTGCATAACTACAAAGTGCTGAGGTAAGCAAAGTTTAAGCCCCGCCTCTTTCCTCACTGAGCCGACCTGCTGGGAAACAACTTCACCTCCAGTCGAGTTGGGAGCTTCTGGTGGCAAATAACCAAATAATGATTCACAGCAGGTACGGCATGGCGCAGATCCCTGTTACCATGACAACCAAGACTAATCTACAGGCTCTTATGTCTGCAGATCCATATGCATGTCTTCATATTTATAATTTTCTCCTCCAATTTTAAGTCTCAGCTGAACAGAAGAACAGATGTAATTTTAGTTTAAAACCAGATGAACTTCACCTCAGCTGAGCTCTCCCTGCAGAACAGAGGAGCTTCAGAGGACTGACCTCTGACCTCTGACCTGTGCTTCCTGATGACAAACTGTTCCATCAGACACAGATTGGACCGAGTCTCCAACAGATTTTATTTGATGATTGAAGTTTTGAGCTCATGTGTAAACTCTGTTTTATGAATGTAAAGAAAAACAAAAACAGGAAAAACTGCATTGTGGGAAAAAATCTCTCATTTAAAAGCTGTTAATATTTCCCAACTTTCTGCTTTTTATAATCTGGTTTTAGTCTGATTTACCACTTTCTGTCTGTCTGACATGGAAGCCACTGCAGAGACAAGACAGACATGCCACAGGGAATTACACACACACACACACACACACACACACACACACACACACACACACACACACACAC